ATAACTATCAGGTATTTTCAATACAAAGCATTAAGCAATTGTTATCATTTCTCATAACCAAGCTCCTAAAACATAGAGGCTCTGGACTGAAATCTAAGTAAATGTACATCTGGTTTGCAATTTTTTAAATGGCTGTACATTTCAAACCCCAGAAAAAGCAGGCTGCAGATAGCTGTTTATTACAAATGACTTCCACCTCCTCCACAGCCCTCAAAGGCAAACTATAAAGCTGTGTGCAAAGCCAGACAATCTGGGCACCCAGCCATAAACCATCACTGCTGCAGCACAGATAACTGTTCTCCCTCTCAGCCATCCCTGGCTGCAAACCCACGGGGAAGAGCTCCAGAAACCAGACCTCAGGACCGCCAGGGCTTCTAATATTTTATGAACTTGAATTACAACTACGTTCGAGACCTCAGTGCTGAAAAATTACAGCGCTGATTCACACCCAGGGCTGAGACCAAAACTCACTCGGATTTGCCTGGTACCCTGAACCTCGAGATGCACGAACAGCCAGTGATTTTACAGCTGCCTTCAGTGACAGAAGCCTTTTTATTGGGAGGAAGAGACAGACATGCTACTCTCTTCAAAAATAAGACAAAAGAATCAGATGCATGTTTTAGAGTAGTGCTGCATTTTCCACCATCTTTGACACGACCTCAAAGAGCACAGGGACTGCTCGGTGCCAGTTTCTTTAAGATCAAATCCAGACATTTGTACCTTGGGCGGGAGATTTTAAAACATATTAGTGACAAGGTAGGAAGGAGCACAAATGAAGTTTCAGAAAACACAGTTGTAACTGTATTTGGGAATTACTTACATGATTAAGTAATGACAAAATAAGCCCAAGTATATCTCCTTCTGGTATTTAAGATGCACAACTTAGCCATGCTTTCAGTTGACAATTTTCCTAACTAGCACAGATTCCTAAAGGGAGATCAAATAATACTTTGATTCCTCTGCTTTCATACATTAAGAATAACCATCTTTCATTTTACCAACAGCATTTGCCAGTGAAGAGACGCACAGAGCACATAGATCATTTAGTAATGCAATTTACTGTCACTTCTAGATCATCTCCCCATTCAATAAAGTGTACTTCTCTTCTAAACACTATTTGCCCTGGCTGATATCTTCATAATACAGCTGAAAACCTCAAGCCATTATCACTAGAAGGCATCAGCTGATCCTAAATTGGCTAGACTGCAGCGTCACAGGCATTTAAGAGGTTTCCTTATCATTCATCTTTAATACTGAAGGATCGACACACTCCTACCTGCAGCTTCCAGGCCAAGGGGAAACCTTCTAATGGTATTACCATTATCTTGTAATCTGAATTTTAAACAATTAAAACAATAGCACTTTTGTGTTGCAGGTCTCTTACTGTTACCAAAGATGATACATTTTTTATCAGTTGTCATGTTCAAAGTCTTACATAAAACACTGATTTTTTAAAAAAAATGCAGAAATATGCACTCTGCACTGAAGCTGCTGAACCTTCAAAGAGAAGCAGCACTGTAACAAGGCACTTAAATTTAAGCCATCAAGAGAGACCATTTGATTTACTCAGGAAAGGTTTGGTCATTTTATTTAAAATCTGCAGTTCTTTTAGTCAATGCGATCTGGCAATTCTTTCCAAATGAAAGCCTCTTTTTACTGAAGCAGGGGATGGCTCCACCCCTGACCTCCTCCTTCAGCTTGTTTTGGAAAGGGGCCAGATGACAGCATTTGGAAAAGCGCATGTTTATCTCGGCGAGGCCAGCTGCTAAGTTAACATATTACCCGTTCCCACATCCCCCGCTCTTGGTTAAGTCTTCACAGCTAAAACTGAAAGTAAACGCTGCCATTGGGCTTTTAATAAATGTAACATGAAAGAGAAAAGGAGTCTCCATGGCACGGAGCATCTGAAGGGGCTGCAGAGGTCCAGGTCATTTTGAGTGAACAGCAGGCAGTAACTCTGTCAATAAAATCCCTGGCCTTTCTGAATGAAGTGAATGAAAAACTGAAAAATAAGCGGGTTTATTTCTAGATTAATTTAAGGCTATGCTCTCTATAAGACTGCCACTCAGCAACAGTTTGCTTGACTACACAAGGAGATTATAAACCCCTGCTTGACAAAACCTTTCACTTGATCTTGTTTTATTGTTAGTCCATACTTGGCAAGGTATGGAACATAAGAGCTTTGAGAGCTTCAACAAAGAATCTTCAGAATAAAATAGTCTTATGCCCAATTGTTTTTCTTATTTTAAGGAAATTCCATGTCATTATTTCCAAAGTCTTAAAAACGTCTTTCAACCAAAAAGAGTACAGAATTACCTTACTTCCTACAAACATCAGTGAGAGACCTCAACTTATTAAAAGCAGAGTGTGAGATGTTATTAGAAAAGACAAATCCTGGAGAAGAAACCAGAAATTAAGGCGGAGGTGGGGTTTTCATTGATCCCATCAAGTCCAGCAGGCTTTGCAATGGGCAAACCCATCCACTCACACGCGATCAGAGACAGATTTCGGAGGAAGCCAAGATCCCATGGCTGAAGGTGAACTTCCAAGTCCCCACACGGTTTTTAGCCCAAGGGCAGTGTCCCAGAGCAAACTCCACTGTGCTGTGGCCAGCGGGGAAATGGCACAGCCCAAGGCTGCCCACAAGGACATTCCCAGCACTGGGACTGGCAACCTGCACCGCTGACAGCCCCAAAATAATCCATGTGCTGCAAAGCTGATGTACAGCACACACACAACAGCTCTTAGGCTGATGGATCCCAGACTTGAATCTGTCGACATGGGAATCCACACATAGAAAAATGAATATATCCTGCTGCAATCCAGAGGAGCTGTCAATAAAAAGATTTGTCTTGTTTCTTTCATTGCTATGAACAAAAACATTAGACAAAAATAAAAAATATTGGCTAAAATGAGCCCCTACTAATGCCCACCCCTCTCGCCCTGGAGCAAGTCCTGGCTGCAGCAGTTTTCCCCGTGGCAGCACCTGTTCTCCGGGGGCTGGATTGCAATGAACCCTCCTCATCTCAGGAAGCCAGGCAGATCACTTCCACTCAGAAATGATCCGCTCCCCTTTGAAGATAAGGACAAAGCCACACAAGGCATTATTACACTACTGCTGCTGCCCTTAAGCACTCATTTTCCCTAAAAAAGTTGAAATTAATCTGATTTACTACAGCTTTGGTTTTTTCTCACAGACTGATTCCTGGGCTCGGAAGCAGCCAGGTTATCCACGAGGAATCCCAGCCAAAAAACACCAAGTGCTCCCCAGAGCAGCCCGAGCTTCCAGAGGCTGGAGCCGCTTCCTCACTGGGGTATCCAGGGCTGACACTGCTGCTTTCACCTTCTGGAAAGAATTCCAGAAGCCACAGCAGGGACGCCAGCGCATCCGGGGGCTGTTGCTCAGCACATACCATTTTGAGCTCACAAATAACACACAGGAGCAGCCAGCCAGACATCCCCGGGATTCCTGAAGCCCAGGAACCGCGGGAAGGAAACTCTGTGATGTGCTAAGCACAGGTTGCAAGTCACCTCCTATTTCCTTGGGAAACACCAGGGGAAGCAGTGAGAACCCGTGTGCACCTTCTCGAAATTATTATTTTTTTAGAACGTAATATCTAAGAGGAAATTCCATTTAAATTCGTTAGGGAATCCAAAAAAAGACCCAAAAAACCCCACCCACCGCAGGGAAGGAGGGCAGGATCTGGAAGCCGTGCCTGGCTCTCCCAGTGCACCCAGCAGCAGTGCAGATGTTCTCCTGCTCCTCCGCTCTGGCATTGTCCTCAGGTCCACAGCACCACCAACACCCACCTGATTTAAAGCTCTGCACCACTAACAGCGGGATTTATTGGAATTTTAATTACCTTAACCGGCCTAATGTCCACAGCAAATTTCTGTACATAAATTAGCATAATTTGCCAGATACATACATATGCAAACGAGAGGGAAAAATATGCAACACACATGGGTATGACGTCCCAAAGATTATTTCTAAATTTAAACTGGCTGTTAGAATAATTGAATAAATCTCATCTCGCAGATACACTCGAGTTGTAGCAGAAAATAAACTAGTCACAAAGACCTGCAGTATTATTTTTAATGGGAAAAGAGGGGGGGGAAACCCAATTGAGTTCAATAAATCCCATAATTGAACCTTCAACTAATTACATATTAAGAAGATTAACCTTTGACACAAACTTGTGATACAAACAAAGAAGCCTCGAACAATTAATAAACTTCCAGTGTTTCAAGATTTCTCAGGTTAACAACTGAGCCCTCCCCATTTTCCTCCCCTTCTGCGTCGCAGTTAAAGGAATAAACTCTGTTTAATATTCTCTCTCCCCCTGGACATTCCAGGTTTAGACGAAGATCTCTCTGTGAATACTCAGGAGAAAATTACTGCGGATCCTCACAATCTCATTACGCGGAGGGGGGAAAAAAAAGAGGAAAAATAACCCAAAGCTAGATATTTGAACTTTTAAGAGAAAGCAGCCATGAAGGACAAAGCTGGAGCTCATGAGCTCGCCCACAGGGCAGCACTGCGGGCCATGCCCACAATTTTCCAGCCCTGGGATCATTTCCAAGGAGCTGTGCGATAATTTTCACACGTGTAAGTTCTAAAGCAAGAGCACACGGCCGTGCCTTGAAGCAGGAGCTGCCTTCATGTCATGTCTGAATGGCACAACACGCTCACAAATGGCACTTTCTGCTCGCTGTACGGGGACAAACAGCGATTCCGGACACAGAAAAAACACCCAGTTAATTCTACCATTAAAAAAAATATCCGGAGGTTGCTCGTATTTTTAAAAAATCGTATAAAAATAAAAGAGATTTTGAAACGTTTTGGGGTGTTTCTTGCTTCGCTGACTAATAAACAGTTTAAAAATAATAATAATCTAGTTTAGACTTGTGAAAAAGGAGCAATCCACCGGCTTTGCAGGTCTCTTCCCCTGCTAACTTCTACCGTGCCCGGATTAAGAGATGCTCTTACCCCTTCTTACCTTTTAGTCTTTTCTTTATGGGGCTCTTTGGCAGCTTTCGATTCAGTCTTGCTGTAAGGAAACAAGTGAGTATTTTGTCTACCGTGTAAGGGTCTCTCTGACGTGTTCCTTTCTTATTTTTAATGCTTCTTTTTTTTTTTTTCAATTATTTTGTAAGTGTACCCGTAATTTCACGAATATGAATACGAAAAAAATCTCACACGGCCAAAAAAATTAAGTTTTTTGTTGTTTTGTCGTCGTTTGTTTACCCCCCTCAGGGAAAAAAAAAAAAGTCTGCCACACAGGAGATGAAAAAAACCCAACAGATCAACAGGAATACACTATCCAAGTAGAAAAGCAAAGAGCTTCAGTGTTATCCAGCCCAGAGGAGAAGTGCAGCAAAAGCAGGTCCAATTCCAAAACAAGCTTTTGATTTCCAGTGAAGCAAAATTAAAAAAAAAAAGAAAAATAAAACAACAAAAAAATAACCAAGACCAAGAAACCAAGACAAAATACACGTTCAAGTCCCCAGCTAAATTTCTGCACGAGTGTGTCTTAAATACAAGTTTGCTTTCATGTGTTGCAGCAAAACCCACGGAAAGCCAGGATTTGGAGTTGATCGGGATGAGTTCTCGTGTGTGTGTCTTGATGGGTTCTCAGTCCACATGGAGGAGCATCTGAGGGTTTTTCAAAAAGTGCAAATCAAAAAAAGAGAAACCGGGATCCAGAAAAAGAGTTTTAAGATGGATCCCCCCTTCAAAATAAAAGGTGGAGGGGGTGGAAAAAAACAACAACAAAAAAAAACCCAACTGAAAGAGCACGGCGGAGGCACGGGGGGATGCGGAGTCTCACATGGGGCTGCGGGCAGGAGGAGGATCCCGCCGGGAGCTCCGGGGGGGCGGAGGATCCAGCGGAGGCTCTGCCAGGGGAGGAGGGTCCGCGGCTCCGCAGGGACCCCGCGGGCGATCCGCGGCGGGAGGAGGATCCGGCAGCCGCTCCCGCAGGAAGGAGCGAGCGCGGGGAGGGGATCCGGGGAGGAGGATCCAGCAAAGTCTTTCACGGAGGGAGGAGGGAGCGGGGAAACCCGACAGTCTGTGTGCCTGGCTCGCAGCGGGGTCCGCGGGCAGGCGGGAGCGGGGCGATCCCGCGGCTCTCTCCGTGCGCTCCGCAGGGATTCGGCAGGGACCGGCGGGGAGCGGGGCAGCCGAGGCGGCGGCGTGTCCCCGGGGAGCCGCAGCAGCGCCTCGGGCAGGGTCGGTCGGTCCGCCGGGGTGCTGAAGGGGAGGGGGGAGGGAACGCAGCGTCGCTCGCCGTCTCTCCCGCTCGCTCTCGCCTCGTCCGCTGGCAGGGCAGGCGGTGCCGGGCTCAGTGCCGCCGGGCCGGTCCCCCGCTCCTCCGCGCCGCCGCCGCCGCTGCCGCCGGTGCCGCCCTGGGGAGCAGAGGAGCCGCTGCCGCCGCTGCCGCCGCCGCGGCCATTTTGTCGCTGACTGACAGAGCCCCGCCAGGCAGCGCGAGACCGCGGGGCGGCTCCGCGCGCGCCCCCTCTCGCGCTGGCCGCCAACAGGAAGTGCCGCGCTCCCCCTCCCCCCCCCCGCCCGCTGCCACCACCACCACCACCACCACAGACCCGGCCCCTCCGACCACGTGACGCGGAGAGGGGAGGGGGGAGCCCCCGCCGGTATGCAAATGAGCGCGGCGGCCGCAGCCAAACGGCGGTGAGGCCGCGCGCGCGCGCCGCGGGCCACGCCCCCACCTCGCCGAGGCGCGCGGGGGGAGTGGGGAGAGTGCTGTGACACCCCCCCACATCCCCTCACAGCCCTGAGGGGTATAGGGGGGTCACCCCCACCCCGGCAGGTCGGTGTCGATGCTTTCTCACACACACACACACACACACACAACACCCCCGTGACAACGGCGGCGAACGGCAATTCACCCCTACCTCGCACAGCCCCCCACCCCGTGCGTGAGGGGAGAGAGAAGGCGAGAGAAAAGTGTGCCCCCCAAAGGGGTTGTGTCCCCCCAGAAGGGGTGCGAAAGAGGTGCAAAACATGCACATACACACACACACACACACCCGTGCATATGGGTGTCGGAGCATTCACCCCTCCGTCGCACACCCCCGCAGAGAGGTGGGGGAGCGGCAGAGCTGTGCTCCCCCCCCCCAAAAGACACAGAGGGGCTTCACCGCCACCCCTGCAAATGGGGGTCGATGCATTCACACACACACCGGCAAACGGCGTTAGGTGTGTTCACTCCTTCCTCACAAGCCCTGGGAACGGGGGTGCAGGAGAGCTGAAGACCCCAAAGGTGTATAAAGGGGTGCAGAGGGCTCCCCCCACCCCCTGCAAATGGAGGTCGGTGCATTCACACCCACAAACCGCAAAGCAGGGTTAAGTGCGTTCATCCCTTCCTCACATCCCCTGGGAACGGGGGTGGCAGGGGATCTGAACCCCCCCAAAGGGGTATAAAGGGGTGCAGAAGGGTTCCCCCCACTCTCGTGCTAATGGGGGTCGGTGCCTTCACCCCTCCTCACACCCTCCCGCGGGCTGGGGCTCTGTGGGGCCGGTCCAGGGGTGGAAAGGGGGATCACACACACATCCCTGCTGCACCCCAAGAGCCCCCCTGTTTGTGGCAGGTGTGAGCACACACTGCAGGGACACACCTGGGGACACTCTGGGGTACCCAGGGACACGGCCCTGCCCTCCAGGGCACCTCCCCGCACAGCCCTGCTGGGCTCAGGGCCATCAGAGGGGATCCCCGTCCTAAACGGGGACTCCAAAAATAATCCCGGTGTTTGAAATGCAACCCTGGCTGAACACATGGAAATGTCACATTTCAGAGTGGCAGCGCTTGACTTGTCCCCCACAATAACCACATTAACTGTTTCTGTCAGGAGAAAGTCAGGGTCTGATCTCAAAATACCACGGGAAGAGTGAAATGCAAAAAAAAAAAAAAAAAAGAGTCTATTTTTTTTTGCTAAAAATTGTTGTGTCTGGGTCTTCCAGCAGATCTTCTCCGGTTCTCTCTCCTCTCTTGTTTCCTCTCCCCCTTCTGCAGCGAACGTTTTTGGAACTGCAAGGAAATCCAGAGCCTCAATCTTTATTTGCTCGGGCGGTTCCACTGAAATCTGAAATGTGAATGGAGCAGGGGTTACAGAGCAGGGGTGGTTCTGCTGCCTGGCATCCGCAGGGGGGGTCTGGGGGGAAAGAATTACAATCCCAGCATGATTCCCCTTGGCATTTGTGATGCCAACCCCAAAGCCACCCTGTGCCAGCCCCTGGGCAAACGACACCGGGAGCCCGGAGCCCCTTGACCACTGGAGGGAGCCCATATTGTGCCAGAATGCAACAGAAACACTACGGGGAAGACAAAAATATAATACTAAAATATGAAATATCAGATCATTGTAGTCAGAACAAAGTGTCTTCTCCAGGTCAGACCGTGATCTATAGCAATGCAAAATGTTATAAAAATCAGATTTAAATGTCCCATTGTACTTCATCAGCACAAAGAAGAGAAAGAATTATTAAGAACAAGGCTCTTTTTTTCCCCCTCTCTTATTTTGAATGTCAGTCTGGCACCTTTCACCGGGAGTGAATTCATACGCCAGGCTGGTGACAGACCTGGCTTGGAGGGAAAATGCCCTTGTGTCATCCCAAGGGCCGGCTGAGCTCCCCCCCACTCTCCTCACTTAAATGTAGGTCAGCACCTATAGACTCCTTCCCAACACGCCCCCGAGCTGCAGCAGCGCACCACTGCTGCTTTCCGAGGAGATTTGGAAAGGAGATTCCTTTTGGAAAGGAGATTTCTTCTGTTCTGCCTTTCTCACTCCAGAGATGTCATGTTTATGGCACAACATGCACCTACAGGAGGCTGCCCTGCACCAAAAACTCTGCTTGGCAATTGTGCCCAGGAATGTTCCTGGTCCCCTAAATTCCGTGGTGTGAACTATTTGTAATTCAAAACACACTCTTAACACACAAATATTTCTGGCTTCGCAGAGTGATGCCAAGTTGCTGGAGACCCTGAAATGTCAAAATGGAATAAAACTGAAAGTGATTTGTGTACTAATCTGTTTTCTTGGCCCTGGAGAAATTACCACCAAAAGCATGATATAACCACAGCCCCACAGAGAGCCTGTTGTGTTTGACACCCCTGTTCTGAAATACTGTCCTTGATGGATAAAAACACATTCTAGTAAACTTTTCCTGTCTTACCTGAGCTCTTTGCCATTGAATACAGGGCTATATCCAATGTAATTTGATTTTTTTTCTCCCCTGTTTTGGTGTCCCACTGGGGTTTTGCCCTGCCACTCTCCTGGGGGGCTCACACAGATCCAGGTGGGTTTGTCCCCCCAGCACCTGGGGCTCTGTAGCAGCTGGTGGCTGCTGTCACCACTCATGGCACATCTGTCCCCTAATTGCCCTGAGCTGCAGGACCCTGGCAGGGCACAGGCTTCTCCTAGAGCTGTGTTTTTCCAGAGCTGCTCCTGCACAGAACCATCAGGGGCTCCTGCTGCCTTTGAAGGCTCTCCTTCCCCCCAGCACCCAGGCAGTGCTTTTGTCACATGTGGGTAAGAGCAGATGTCAGCTGGGGTGAAGGGAGGCCAAGGGACTGATGATCCAGGGCTCAGTGCTCACAGAGCAGGAGGAGTGAGGAGTTCCTCTGCTGCCTTGCAAACCTCCTTGCCCAGTCTGCCTGTGTGTCAGGGAAAGGGCTGCGACCACAGTGTCCCCAGGGTAGGTGGCTTTGAGCACACAGAGCCAGGCACTCACACAGATACAGCATTTTCTCTGCTGAGAGTGACAAAACCGAGCTAAGCAAAGGTCTTCACACGTTCAGGGGCTGTGTTGGGGTGGCTCAACACCCAGGCAAAATATTCCTTGCTTGGTTTTGTATCACCCAACCGAGCACAAAATCATCACCCGGCATTTCTTGCAGTTCCTACCCAGTATTGCTGTGCTGAGAAGGCCCCAACGATGAAGGAATGATGAGGAGGACTCCATGGATATCAGAAGGCTAATTAATTACTTTATTATACTATATTATTCTATACATCTAAAACTGAACCTGCCAAGCACTCAACCCTGCACACAATTGCACTAAATCTCGTGACTGCCACCCAACAGTCCCCACACAAACACACCTGGCCCTGACAGGCCAAGGAAACAAAACATCATCGCTGTGGGGAAACAATCTCCATATTGCATCCTACTTTTGCACAAACACAGGCACAGCAAATGAGATAAGAATATTCTTGGGAAGAATTGTTCCTTGCTTTTCTCTGCAAAGAGAAATGTGGAGCTACAACACAGCAATAAGGAGCACACACAAAATTAAAATCAAAGCCCACTGGCCGTGCTCCAGTGACACAAACAGCCCCATTCCTTAAGGAGAATCCAGTCTCTGATGCTGAACAGGATTTCCCAGAGCCCACACAAAGTGAAGCTACAGCTCCAAGGCTCTCCCTTGTCTGAGGTGATGCTCAGAGGGCAGGATCACTCTGGGAAGCCAGGATCCAGGACACCACAGGCTCTTCCCAAGTTTTCCAAGGAAAATATGAAAATATGAATGTGCAAACAATTTGTACAAAGTCCTTCTGAAGGATGCAAACACATACCTCCCTGGCCACCCTACCACAAATGCTGTCCTTAGGGTGAACACTTAAATAGAATCACAGAATTGTTAAATTGGAAAAGACCTCAAAGGTCTTTGATTCAACCATTGATTTAACCATTACTGAACTTACACATAATTTTTTTATTGGAAAACTCACTTTCAGAACTTATGTTTCTTTCCCCATGTTTTCCTCCCACTTGCTGGGACCATGCCCTGCTGTGACACCTCCACATGAGCTATGAAATGTCCTCTCATGGCACTGGCCCAAAGCAGAAAGAGCTCCTGAAAACCTGGTACCCCATGTTCCTCCTGATGCCTGGCACAGACATTTCACATCAGCAAACCCACTGTGGTGAGCATCATCACAGGAGTCTGACACTTCACCTTTTACCCTGCACTGGATGAGCTTGTTCCCCTTTTTTTTGTGTGTAACAACCAAATACTTGAAACACTTGCCCAGAAAACACCAGTTCACCTTTTACCCCGCACTGGATGAGCTGGTTCCCCTTTTTATTTTTGTGTAACAACCAAATGCTTGAAACATTTGCCCAGAAAACACAACATCTGGATTCA